GGTCATCGATTCCGCAGGCCTCGTGAGCGTCAAGAGCACATCATCTGCATAAGCTGCCACCACAAAGTCTCTCCCCCCCACCTTTACCCCGTGTATATTGGGATGCTGTCTGATAGCCTGTAGCAGGGGTTCCAATGCCAAGACAAACAGAAGGGGCGACAGCAGGCAGCCCTGTCTGGTGCCGTTGTGGAGCTGGAAGGGGATTGGAGGAACGCCGGTGATTTGTACTTGTGCCCGCAGATTACTGTACATGGCCCTCACTACTGTAATGTATTAGTTCGGGAAACCTAAGTGTGTCAGTACAGTGAATAGATACGGCCACTTGACTCTATCGAATGCCTTTTTGGCATCAATTAAGACAATTAATGTTGGTGTACCTGTGGTGGCTTGCTTCCATATTAAGTTGATGTTTCTATGCGTATTTTCGAAGAGTTGCCTCCCCGGTATGAATCCTACTTGATCCGCGTCAATTAAGGACTTTAGGTTCTGAGCCATTCTGTCCGCTTGAATCTTAGCTAGAAGCTTCATGTCATGGTTTATTAAAGATATGGGTCTATAATTCCCTATAAGGAGGGGGTCTTTGTCTGGTTTGGGCATTAGCACTATCGATGCTAAGGACATGTCTGGATTTGGACACCCGTCCCCCTGAAATCATTAAAGAGTTTGTGTAATTGAGGCATGAGAAGTTCCGAAACGTTTTATAATAAGTCCTGTCAAACCCATCGGGTCCCGGGGCCTTATTGCCCTTCAGGCTTGTTATGGTCCTGTCTCTTTCTTCCTTTGTTATTTTGGTCGCTAACTGGAGGGAAGCCTCCCTCGGTAGCTTGGGCAGTCTTAAGCTCTCTAGGAAGCTGGTAATTTGGTCAGTCCCACCGTCTCCATTGGTCTTGTCTCCCGGGCAGTGATCGTACAATAATTTGTAGAAGTCTGTGAAGACCTCCGCAATGTCTCGTGGATTGGTTTTGATGGTCCCGTCCTTATGTCGTATTGATGTGATGTGTGAACGTCTCTGTCGGGGTTTTAGAGTCCTGGCCAGAAGCATGTCCATCTTGTTCCCTTTTTCGTAGAAGGTCCGTCTGGACCACGTCATAGCTCAGGCAGTATCGTCAAGGAGTAGATTTCTAATAGCATGTCTCACTTCCTCAACCCTCCCTAGTGTATCACCATCAGGGCGTGGTGTTGTTGCTCTAGTTTTTTAAGATCTGTCAGAAGTCCTTCAAGTGTTTTTACTTTATGTTTTTTCTTTATGGTCGCTAAGCGAATGAGTGCCCCCCTTGCCACTGTCTTGTGGGCTACCCATATAGTGCTGATTTGTAAGTCAGGAGAGGTGTTAGTATCAAAGAAGTCCCCTATCTCCTTGCGAATTTGTGTTGTAATGTCCTCATCGCATAGTAGAGACGTGTTAAGCCTCCACGACCAAGGGGATGCTGAGCAGAGGTACCCAATCGTAACTGCTACGTCCGCATGGTCGGACCAAGTAATGGATCCGACAGAGGAACCCGTGATACGGGAGAGACAGGTGTCATTCGTTAGGAAGAAATCCATCCTGGAGTACGTCCCGTGTGGGGCCGAATAGTAAGTATAGTCTACCTCGCTCTGATGATGTGCCCTCCAGATGTCCATGAGGCCTGCCTCCCTCATAAATCCGTACAATAATTTATCTTGTCCCCCCTTCCTTGCGACCTCGGTGCCCCACTACGCGCACTTCTATCCACCGCCGGACTCGGCACAGCGTTAAAGTCCCCGCCAACTAAAGTCATCCCATGCTGCAATGACCGCACTTTAGATCGCAGTTCTTCCCAGAATCTCTGGTCTGGCTGGTTCGGTGCGTACACATTGACCAGATGGATCGTATGGGAGTATAACGTCTCAGATACTATGACATATCGACCTTCTGCGTCAGACTTGGTCGAGGTAATTTGCAATGGGCATCTATTCCTAACTAGTATCGCCACTCCATTACGCTTTCGGTGCGCACGAGACTCCAGTGTCATCCTAAACGTGTGGCCCCTTAACTTGAATCATATATGTTTTGGTAGATGCGTTTCCTGCACAAAAGCAATATCCGCTTTCATCCTTTTTAACTCCCGGAACATAAGGCACCGTTTGGCGGGTGCATTTAGCCCCTTCACATTCAGTGAGGTAATATTCACAGCCATGGGTCCAATGTGAGAATCTCGCTATTAGGCACACCCGGCCATGCTTAGAAATGAAAGAAAATTCAGATTAAGAGAAAAAACCAAAAGTAAAAGAGATAACTTATGTCTATCAGTTTCCACGTGGATGTACAAACAAGTAGACAGACCCAACTCCCTTCTTCAACACCCTCTAAGTATCGCACCAGCAGACCGGGACCTACTTCCTCATTCTTTAACCCTGCCCCTTGTGGGCCATGTTTTACTTAATTCTGCGTGTTGGGCCACTGGTTCATCCTGACAGGATGGGAGAGAAGAGGGGAACATGTGAGTTAACGCAACGTCGGCTGAACCCGCGGGAGCCCCAGACCGGGCAGACAGGGAGTTGATGATGGTCGGTATGTTAATTGTATGTAATTGTATGTATATAGGGAAGTGTTTGTATTTTGCACGTTAGTCCTGATGAAAGTTTATGTGAAACAAACTGAAACCTCGATTTTTTTTTTTTTTGGCAAGTTAACTAAAAGCTAAGTTTTATTTTTATAACGACCTGAGAGTGCTATCTGGATCATTATATATATATATAACATATATATATACATACATATTGTTTTACAACTTAGAAATAAATTTAAATTGTCATTGCATTCTCCACTGTTCTGCAATAATTTACCACAATTATCAGAAGACAGACTGCTTAAAATATAAAGTCAGACTACGGAAAATCTATGTAATTTAGTAATTTCAAAAAATGGAGGCTTGTCCTCCTAGGCAGTATGACTAAGCAATGCAGATTGTATATCTATGGAATTGCTATATGGTCACTATTCCATTAATTTATGGTATTTTATTCTTAGTTCCTCGTCAACAATTAGATAATATGAATGTGATTTTTTTCAAAAGAGTTTCCGTAACATTCAGAACTTTTGTTGGTTGAATCTTATCAATCTGGATACGAACTATTATAGATAACTAATTTCCAGGCATATGCAAGGAGACAATTTCAGCTGTTATTAGAGGAAAAAGCCACACCTAAGAGCAAAGGTGAGCATTGGCAGGGCATGTTAAATTGAATATATATAGCTAATGTTTCCAAGAACAAAGGGTAGAACAACAAGGAACATTTCCTAGAACATGTGTTGGCAGACTGAGCAATTTCTCAGAAGATAGGATTTGTTCTGATACAAAAAAATGAGTCTATGGTTATAAATGCATGGTAGAACGTATGGTAGATCACCCCACAATTGTAACACAATCTGTTGTCCCCCAAGGCCCCACTTATTGGCAGTGGGCGGGACTAATAATAAAGTTCACCATCACCATAAAATGTATGCTATCTGTAGCAGAGCTCCATGTCCCCCGGCTGGGTACCTTCGCCAAGGACCGCTTCCTAGCTGGAACAGAGGAAAACCTCAGAGCTTCTGCCCCAGTCACTTGACTGGGGTCCTCCTGGAGCTTCTCTGTCCTGGAACAGGATAGGGGGCTAGCTCTATTACCTCCCAGGGACTGGACGCCACAAGGACTTTCCTCTACCGGATTCTCTACGAGCTGGAACAAGGTGCTTGTCACGATTCTCACCGCGACATCCCGACGGCCAGACGAGGTCGCCCCAGAAGTGCCCGGTGACGGACTTGAACCAGGGTACTTTGCAGTCCTGGGGCTGCTATTTTGCCTCTGAGCCACCATATCAGCTCAAGAGATAGCCAGAAGTCTATATTGCCTTGTACCCAGCACTGGGGGCTGGACGTTATTCTGTGGCTGCTCCAACGATCTCAGCACACCTGTGGCTGATCACCAATTAGCCAGGTATAAGACACTGCCTCTCCCTGAGGGCAGTGTCAGTTCATTGACTCTGGTTCCCTTGTTTGGTTCCTGTTACTCTGTACCAGCGTTCCAGTGATTACTGTCTAATTCCGGCTTCTGACCTTGGCTTTCCTCCTGGACTACTCTGACCTCTGGCTTCCCTGATTTTGGCTTCCTTTGACCACGCTTCTGCTAATCCCTGCTGTACTGAGACTTGGCGCACTTTTCCTGGAAAGCCCCCGTGCACAGACTCACAGATCAGGTGGCGTCTTACCTGGTCACCCTGGTCTGTGTCTACTTTGCAAGGGTGAGCGTATAACTCTGCGAGCCGGACTCCCCATCAGGTAAGATCCTGACAGTGCTGAGCAGTGATTATAGCCCTTCCCCTCCCAGTAACTAGACGACACATAGTTCTCAGAGTACAACTGATTTTTCTTTTTATAATTCTTTATTTAGAAGTTTTGAACAAGTTATGTACAGTAGGGTAAAGCATGTTTTGCAATGTCGTCTTGGTACAAAACAGTGACAGTTGCGTAAAGTAATAAAGAGCGTGAATACAGTTTGCAGTCTGGTTTTGCTCCTCAGATACATATTTATAGCTTCGTATTGGATAAGGTCCAATTCCTTTTTCACTATTTATCCTTAAGCTCTGTGAAGTTCGGGATATGTAAGGGTGGGGGATTTGTGGCCAATTGTGGGAAGTGGTTGTGTCGTGTGGTCTGTAGGGTGTCGTAGTTTGGGTGTGTAGACCTCTTGTTTTACGGTGTTCAGTTATTGTCTAGTGGTACGTCGGTATCTGTTGGTGTAGCTGTGGTGTGGGCGTGGGTCGGTCTCCTTGTCTTGGCTTTTCAGTGAGCTGTTTTTGCTTATCAGGAGCGTTTGTGGTTAGGCTGGTGTGCGTAAGGTTGTGTGGTGGGGATATATGTAGGCTGTCCGAGGTCTGGTGTGGGTGGTGTGTGCACGCGTGGTGTAGGGGTGTGAAGAGGCAGGGGGTGGAGATATCTAAGTGTGCGGTGGGGAGATGGTAGAAAGACAGAGAGAAGAGGGGAGAGAACGAGAGAGAAAGAAGAGAAAAACACAAAAAAAGGAGGGGGTGGTGGTGGTGGGGTGTCCAGACGTGGTGGAATGGGGGGATTAATGTCTTCGGGATGAAGAGGGGTGTAGCATGGGGGAGGGTCATATATTAGAACTTCAGTTAACGCAATCCTTCCAAAGAGTCAGTCAATCAACGCTTTAATATCACAGACATCTAGTGAATTCAGGTTTGGGCAGGGTACAGAATTTTTGATAGAGTCCTAACCTCAACATCTGAGGAAAGGGATTTAGGAGTAATTATTTCTGATGACATAAAGGTTGGTTGTATAGGGTGAGGTATTAGAAAGAGGGAAGTGCTCACGCCATTGTACAGAACACTGGTGAGACCTTACTTGGAGTATTGTATGCCGTACTAGAGACCATATCTCTTGAAGGATATTGATACTTTAGAGAGAGTTCAGAGAAGGGCTACTAAACTGGTTAATGAATTGCAGGATAAAACCCTGGCTCTGATCTGCTGACGTCATCAGAAGTGGTGGTCTGAGAAAATCACAATGCTTCCCCGTAGGATTCGCTGAGACTGACAAGGAGGCAGATCAGTGGCAGATCCAGCACAAGTCAAACACAGCCCTGGCCAATCAGTATCTCCTCACAGAGAGGAACTGAATCAATGAATCTCTATGAAGAAAGTTCAGTGTCTGCATGCAGAGGGTGGAGACACTGAATGGCTGTGCTGCTCACTGTGCAGGAAACACCTTTAGCAGCCATCTGAGGAGCAGCCAGTCGAGTTATCACTAGGCTGTAATATAAACACTGCATTTTCTCTGAAAAGACAGTGTTTACAGCAAAAAGCCTGACGGTAATGATTCTACTCACCAGAACAAATTCAATAAGCTGTAGTTGTTCTGGTGACTATAGTGTTCCTTTAATTCTACTTTTCAGTAACCTGACCATTGCATGTGTCTGTTAATAACATCAATTCTTATAACACAATATATTTTCTGTGATCACACTGAGAGCCTTTCTCATTACAATTACTAGAATATATATATATATATATATATATATATATATATATATATATATATATATATATATATATGGGCTATACATAGGACACGAGGTCACACATTTAGGCTGGAAGAAAGGAGATTTCATCTAAGGCAAAGAAAAGGTTTTTTTTACAGTAAGAGCAATAAGGATATGGAATTCTCTGCCTGAAGAGGTGGTTTTGTCAGAGTCACTAAAGATGTTTAAACTGCAATTGGATAAATACTTACAAAAACATAACATACAGGGATATAGTTTCTTATTAGTGGGGTAAAAGCTGCTTGATCCAAGGAGACATCTGACGGCTATTTTGGGGTCAAGAAGGAATTTTTTTCCTAGTTTATGGCAAAATTGGAAGCGCTTCAGACTAGGTTTTTTGCCTTCTTTTGGATCAACATCAACAACATATGTGAGGAAGGCTGAACTTGATGGACGCAAGTCTCTTTTCAGCTATGTAACTATGTAATATATCCATTTTTCTGACTAATATCCAAATATTAGCAATTTTCTTGTTATGTGCCTGAAAAATACATTTATATTTCTCATTTCTAGCATATGATATGACAAGAGGAAAGAGGTGTTCTTGGTAGCCCTATTTTGAGGTCAGGGTGACTTCACTGCTTCTTAACATTTCAGTTCTTGTTAAAATTTCAGTTGTTGCCAACTGGTAGGTTATACATCCAAATGATCTCTTTATTTATTTCTGTGTGTATATATGCATGTGTATTTAATAGCTAGATCAGAATATGCTTAGGACTTACATTTCTGAAAAATTACTGAACATGTCTTCCCCAACTCAAGGCTAATTTGATTTATAATTAAATGTTTTGAATTTCATGCAAATTTTAGCCTTTACAAATTGAGCTGCAGGACTCCCAATGGTTTTTTTTTGTTGGTATTTTTTTATGAGTTAACCCAGATCTAAATTGATCTTTACATACTACTGCGTGCAATGTATACAAAAGAATTACTCACTCTACACAATATGTAAAAACCCAATGCTAATTTTACAGCTGACGTCACTTTAAACAATATATTTCTTTTTAATACATCCTTATCAAGACAATAGTTGGGTTTTTATCTTGTACAAATAAAGGAAGGAAAGTTGAATAGAATGGAGTCAGATCTTGATCAATGAGTAGGAGTTGTGCAAAGACAGGAAATGTCTTTCTGATGACCCTGAGCATATTGAACTGTGTCATGGGCAGTCCTAGAAATATCAGCAATGTTACCAGTTTTTGTGAAGGCTTGATTCTTCTAGAACCCAACATTCCACTGTATTGTGATCAGGATGATTTAAGACATGGAATGGCTGCTGTAAGTGGCTAAAGCCCTAGGTGCTTCTGGATACAGGGTAGATAAGTGCTTCGCTGCCAACTTTGGGGTTAAACCATTCAAAAATGGTCTAACCCCTAACACATTGCCTAGAGACTCCTCATGTCAAAACAACATTACTAAGATTAATTTATTTGAAGGAAAATAGTCTCTTTGTGTTAAACCCCACATTTTAGTGATTAATTACTACATTCTATGTGTAACAGAACTATGATTATGCCTATACTTTTGCCTGGACTTATTTAACAATGCTGCTGGATGTGTTAAACAGAAACCGAATGGCTGGTTTTCGTGTGAATATTGCTACTGTAACATACAGCCCAAAATACCGAACATCAGACCACCCAGGGGAACAGTTAATTGCTATTTTACCTCCCAGTGATTGTGGAGCCGTTTGCATGGTTCAGACGAATCTCTTTGTGCTCAGGTTAGATGGCCGCCATTTCGGGACTTTACACGTGTTCGCGGCCATCTTACGCACGAACGGCGGTGTTTGCCTGTGAACGCATGGAACTAAAAACGGATACGCAAACAGGCGAACACCGCTGAGACCTCCAGGAGCTCGTAAGTTCGTGCTGGAACTACCGAACAACCGGCCGTTCGGTAGTTTTGTTTAAGCATTCATGGGGATTCATGGCGAACACCAAGATTACTGTGGATGGCAAGTGGTTCGTGGGGTTTTTATGCACGAACGGAGACCGACCGCAAGGCCAAAACTTATGGAACTCTTTTCAGCTAGAAAACCTGTGCGGTCGGTCAAAACTTCAAAGACCCAAAGTGCCCATTTACAATAAAGGTAATAGGGAGGAGTCGGGCAACTATAGGCCAGTAAGCCTTACTTCAGTAGTGGGGAAAGTGATGGAAACCATGTTAAAGGATAGGATTGATGAACATCTAAAAACACATGAATTTCAAGATCAGAGACAACATGGATTTACTTCAGGGAGATCATGCCAAACTAATCTTACTGATTTTTTTGATTGGGTAACTAAAATTATAGATCAGGGTGGTGCAGTAGACATTGCTTACCTAGATTTCAGTAAGGCTTTTGACACTGTTGCACATAGAAGGCTTATCAATAAACTGCAATCTTTAAGTTTGGATTCAAATATTGTTGAATGGTTAAGGCAGTGGCTGAGTGACAGGCAACAGAGGGTTGTAGTTAATGGAATATATTCGAAGCTTGGACTTGTCACCAGTGGGGTACCTCAGGGATCTGTACTTGGACCCATTCTCTTTTAATATTTTTATTAGTGATATTGCAGAAGGTCTTGATGGTAAGGTATGTCTTTTTGCTGATGATACTAAGATATGTAACAGGGTTGATGTTCCAGGAGGGATAAGCCAAATGACAAATGATTTAGGTAAACTAGAAAAATGGTCAGAATTGTGGCAACTGACATTTAATGTGGATAAGTGCAAGATAATGCATCTTGGACGTAAAAACCCAAGGGCAGAGTACAGAATATTTGATAGAGTTCTAACCTCAACATATGAGGAAAGGGATTTAGGGGTGATTATTTCTGATGACTTAAAGGTAGGCAGTCAATGTAATAGAGCAGCAGGAAATGCTAGCAGAATGCTTGGTTGTATAGGGAGAGGTATTAGCAGTAGAAAGAGGGAAGTGCTCATGCCATTGTACAGAACACTGGTGAGACCTCACTTGGAGTATTGTACACAGTACTGGAGACCGTATCTTCAGAAGGATATTGATACCTTAGAGAGGGTTCAGAGAAGGGCTACTAAACTGGTTCATGGATTGCGGGATAAAACTTACCAGGAAAGGTTAAAGGATCTTAACATGTATAGCTTGGAGGAAAGACGAGACAGGGGGGATATGATAGAAACATTTAAATATATAAAGGGAATCAACACAGTAAAGGAGGAGACTATATTTAAAAGAAGAAAAACTACCACAACAAAATTAGAGGGACAAAGGTTTAAAAATAATATCAGGAAGTATTACTTTACTGAGAGGGTAGTGGATGCATGGAATAGCCTTCCAGCTGAAGTGGTAGAGGTTAACACAGTAAAGGAGTTTAACCCCTTAAGGACACATTACATGTCTGACATGTCATGATTCCCTTTGATTCCAGAAGTTTGGTCCTTAAGGGGTTAAGCATGCGTGGGATAGGCATAAGGCAATCCTAACTATAAGATAAGGCTAGGGACTAATGAAAGTATTTAGAAAATTGGACAGACTAGATGGGCCGAATGGTTCTTATCTGCCGTCACATTCTATGTTTCTATGTAACTCCCGAACCCCTCAACCGAATGGACTGAAATTTGGATATATTGTTCCCCTGAGTGAGAGCTATTAAGCGGTGCTGGACTTAAAGGTGTACCCCCTGTTTTTGGGGTACATCCAGAATGTAGTTAAAATTGTGTCTGTTTTAATTGTGTTATATGTTATCTGAGGGGAGGAGACGTGGGGGTTGAACCATGTATGTAATTGGCTGTTGTGATAATTATGTGGGTGTAGCCTTTCAGAGGGCAATATTGCATAAAAGGAGACCCCCTGTCAATAAACATCAGTTCTACTTGACCCTTCAAAACGTAGCCTCGTCTCGTTCTTGAAGGGGATTTATGGTACCGTTACTCTGCCTCATTTTACAACACTCCTGGATTATACACTTGGATATTGTGGAAGGGAATAAGAACTCCATTACTTCACAGCAGCTTGCCTAGAAAAGGACGTCTCCAACGGCAGGTACCCCTCTCCAGCTGGGTAGCCGTTACATTGGTGGCAGCGGCGGGATGGTCCTTTTCATCCCCAAAGCAAGTGCTGAATGGAATCCCAGTACGCTAAACTGAAAAGACCCACACTAAAGGATCTATTGGAAACCAGAGGAAGGAGTGCCAGCAACCGACCACGGAGAGAGCTGATAGCTGACCTACTGGAGCTGGACGAGATGGATCGATCCATGGAGGTCGCAGACCAACCTACCCCTGTCAGCGAGGAGGAGGAAATTACAAATCTTGTTCAGCGGAGATTATCCATGTACCCAGCAATATCCGTGGAGCTAATAGATCAGCTGTTCCGAGAAGCGAGAACGGAGATACAAAATAGGAGGGGACACGAACTTGAACTGGCAAGAGCTAGACAACCCATTGCACATGCAGTTCATACCACCCCACCCGCTGCTACAGGGCAGAAAATACCCTTCACTGCGTTCAAAGCGTTTGTGGAAAGTGAGGAAGAGATTGACGGATATTTGGCTGACTTCGAGAGGCAGTGCTCACTACACCAAATACCACTAGACCAATGGGTCACTATTTTGGCTGAGAAGTTATCAGGAAAAGCAAATGAGGCTTTTCGGGCGCTTACTGAGGAGGATATTGCGCAGTATCGCCAGGTGAAGGCTGCACTGCTCACCAGATATGCCGTCACCCCGGAAACGTATCGCCGTCGCTTCAGGGAGTCTAAAAAGAAGGCTGCAGACTCCCACATGGAATGGGAAAACAAGATGCAAAGGGTGGCATCACATTGGGTGTGAGGGTGCAATGCCAATACAGGAGAGGAAGTACTACAGCTATTCCTAATGAAACATTTCTTCCAAGATCTGGCGGCAAACATACAGGATTGGGTGAGAGATTGTCGCCCTGCTAACTTAATCGAGGCAGCGCGACTAGCGGATGAATACGCAGAGTCAAGAAAGGTGAGCCAAGGGTCCACACGACCAACCCCTAGAGCAGAGCCACGCACCTCAACGCCTGCTGCACGCACAGAATTTCGGACCAGGACCTCCACAGCCTCAGGGGTCTAACCACCAACCCCGGGATTCTTACAAAATTACATGCCATCGCTGCGGCAACACGGGGCATATTGCTCGTTATTGCCCCTTGGGATCAGCCAATAACAACTGGAGGCGCCCGACCAATAACCCAGAGACCCCTTCATCACCTCTGCTGCTCACTGCCTGGAAACCGAAGGGATCCCTGAGGAGTGTTTGGGCATCCTGTACGAGGCAAACCCCATACAAGCTGCATCCCCAGATAACCGCCAGCATCACCGCCAGGAGGTGCGTGTAAATGGACAGGTAGCACAAGGCCTAAGGGACACTGGCGCTACCATCACTTTGGTGCAGAAACATCTCATGAAACCAGAGCATGTATCTACCCGTACTGTTGCTGTCCGTGTCGCGGGGGGGCTGTTTTTCGCTTACCCACTGCCCGGGTACACTTGGATTGGGGAGTTGGGTCGGGAAAGACCACAGTCGGAATCATGGACAATTTACCTGCTGAAGTCGTGTTGGGCAACGACATTGGCCCTCTGGCTTCAGCTTATCTACCCACGACTGCTGCTGCTTGTCCCGTGACCACCCGCTCACAGACCCGTATCGAGGACGATCCTCCAGCAGAACGGGAGACCCAGGTAAGCCACCAACAGACCCTCAGCCCTAACGCGGTAGAAAGACCCATAGCTTGGGACACCCCAGAGGAGTTTGGGAGGGAAACTAGACAGGACCCCACCCTCCAAAAGTATCAGGAATTAGCCGACAGTGGAGGGGATGAGCGGGAGCAGTTTCTATGGGAGGGTGACAGATTATACAGGTTGACCCAAGGTAGGAGGAGAGGCTGTATCCCTTCGCAGAAGCGCCAACTAGTGGTACCCAGAAAGTACCGGTCGGAACTTCTCCGAATTGGACATGACATTCCGTTGGCAGGGTACTTAGGGGGTAACCGCACTGCCTATAGGATCACACAGACCTTTTTCTGGCCTGGGATCTCGAAAGACGTGCAGCGTTACTGCAGTACCTGTGACACATGCCAACGAGTAGGGAGGAGAGGGGACCACCCTAAAGCTCGACTGTCACCCATGCCTGTGATCGAGGAACCGTTTAGCCGGGTGGCAGTCGACCTAGTGGGACCCCTACCTAACCCCAGTCCCTCGGGTAAGAAGTATATTCTTACAGTAGTGGACTATTATACCCGCTACCCAGAGGCTGTCGCTCTGACGAATATCCAGGCGGACACTGTCGCCAGTGCCCTAGTCGGGATATTCACCAGAGTGGGATTCCCTCAGGAAATCCTATCTGACCGAGGGACCCAGTTCACCGCAGATCTAACCCAGCAGTTATGGAAGGTCTGTGGTGTCAAGACCCTGCTTAGCTCCCCGTACCACCCCCAGACTAATGGTCTCTGTGAGCGCTTTAATGGTACCCTAAAGCAATTGCTGCGGACCTTTACAGCGGAATACAGAGACTGGGAGCGATTCTTGCCGCACCTCTTGTTCGCATATCGAGAGGTACCCAGGAATCCACATGGTTCTCTCCCTTCGAGCTGCTCTATGGACGGCGAGTGCGAGGCCCCTTCGACCTCATCCGAGAGCACTGGGAGGGAGAGATAGAGCATGAGGGCGTTCCTATCGTACCTTATGTGCTGGAGATGCGGGACCGCATGGGGCACCTAGCCAGAATGGCCTGAGAACAATTCCAGGCAGCCCAGGGCCGTCAGAAACACTGGTACGATCGGGGCGCCCGATTGAGAACGTTCCAAGTAGGTCAGAAAGTTCTGGTACTTAGACCTGTCAAGGGAAACAAGCTACAGACCTCCTGGCAAGGCCCTTACAAGGTAGTAGCCCAGGTATGTGACACCACCTATGTAATTGCCAGTAGCCAAGACGAAAGGGTTCAGAAGTCGTTTCATGTCAATTTGTTAAAAGAATACCAAGAAAGGCCCGAAGATATAGCGGCCATATGTATCCCGGCCACTGAAGACCCTGACAGTCTTCCCATCCCAGATTTGTTAGCTGACTCTGAGCCGAAAACTCTGCTTAATACAGTGCAGCTAGGGGAGCAGTTAACTCCCACAGAAAGGGAACAACTCTAACAATTGCTAGCTGAGAAAGGATTGACATTCTCTCAGGAGCCAGGTTACATACCCTTAGCGACACATTACGTGGAGACACCAGGACAGACCCCTCTCAGACAGACTCCCTATAGACTCCCTATAGAATCCCTGAAGCTGTAAAAGAGGAAATGAGAAAGGAGATTCAGGAGATGTTAAAACTGGGAGTCATAGAGCCGTCCGACAGCCCCTGGGCCTCCCCAGTTGTCCTAGTCCCCAAAAAGGACGGAACAACTCGATTCTGTGTCGATTATCGACGCCTCAATGACCGGACCGTGACAGACGCATACCCCATGCCCCGAGTAGACGAACTATTAGATCGTATTGCCAGGGGACGCTATCTGACCACCATCGATCTGTGCAAAGGGTACTGGCAGATTCCCCTGGCCAAGGACGCTATCCCTAAGTCGGCGTTTGTCACCCCGTATGGCTTGTACCAGTTTAAGGTCATGCCATTCGGGATGAAAAACGCCCCAGCTACATTTCAGCGCTTAGTGGACCATCTCCTTGATGGCTTTCAGGAATTTGCATGCGCATACCTGGATGACATTGCGATCTATAGTGAGACTTGGGGAGAGCATTTAAGACATGTAGAGGCTGTGCTGGATCAGATTAGGGCCGCAGGCCTAACTCTGAAACCAGAGAAATGTAATTTCGGAATGGCCAAAGTACAGTACTTGGGACACAGGGTAGGGTGTGGGAAACAGCGACCAGAACCCGCTAAGGTGGAAGCTGTAGCCAATTGGCCCACACCCCACACCAAGACCCAAGTACTGGCATTCTTAGGGACTGCGGGATATTACAGGAAATTTGTCCCTGACTACAGCGCCATCGCTAAACCCCTGACAGATTTGACAAAGAAAAATTTGCCTAGAGTAGTCCTGTGGTCTCCCGCCTGCGAAACAGCGTTCCAAACCCTGAAACAAGCCCTGATCAACGCACCGGTTTTGTCTGCCCCCGTCCCTAACAAAAGATTTGTTGTCCATACAGATGCGTCCATGTACGGACTGGGGGCAGTTCTGAGCCAGGTCAGGGAAGATGGAGGGGAACACCCTGTCGCGTACCTGAGTAGGAAACTATTACCCAGAGAAGTGAGCTACGCGGCAGTGGAAAAGGAGTGTCTAGCCCTGGTCTGGGCCCTAAAGAAGCTCACCCATACCTCACATTGATCACAGACCATAACCCCCTAGTATGGCTGAACCGAGTGGCTGGGGACAATGGACGATTACTAAGATGGAGCCTGGCACTACAACCGTACAACTTCTCCATCCAGTATCGCCCTGGCTGGTTCAATGGGAATGCAGACGGACTGTCCAGGCAAACGGAACTTTTACCTTGACTAGAGACCGGACAGCCTCAAGTTGACCCGAAAAGGATCAATCCGGGTCTGCCGGAGTGTTCCACAAAAGGGGAGCAGTGTAACAGAACTATGATTATGCCTATACTTTTGCCTGGACTTAATTAACAATGCTGCTGGATGTGTTAAACAGAAACCGAATGGCTGGTTTTCGTGTGAATATTGCTACTGTAACATACAGCCCAAAATACCGAACATCAGACCACCCAGGGGAACAGTTAATTGCTATTTTACCTCCCAGTGATTGTTGAGCCGTTCGCATGGTTCAGACGAATCCCTTTGTGCTCAGGTTAGATGGCCGCCATTTCGGGACTTTACACGTGTTCGCGGCCATCTTACGCACGAACGGCGGTGTTTGCCTGTGAACGCATGGAACTAAAAACGGATACGCAAACAGGCGAACACCGCTGAGACCTCCAGGAGCTCGTAAGTTCGTGCTGGAACTACCGAACAACCAGCCGTTCGGTAGTTTTGTTTAAGCATTCATGGGGATTCAGGCAAACACCAAGATTACTGTGGATGGCAAGCGGTTCGTGGGGTTTTTATGCACGAATGGAGACAGACCGCGAGGCCAAAACTTATGGAACTCTTTTCGGCTAGAAAACCTGTGCGGTCGGTCAAAACTTCAAAGACCCATAACTCCCGAACCCCTCAACCGAATGGACTGAAATTTGGATATATTGTTCCCCTGAGTGAGAGCTATTAAGCGGTGCTGGACTTAAAGGTGTACCCCCTGTTTTTGGGGTACATCCAGAATGTAGTTAAAATTGTGTCTGTTTTAATTGTGTTATATGTTATCTGAGGGGAGGAGACGTGGGGGTTGAACCATGTATGTAATTGGCTGTTGTGATAATTATGTGGGTGTAGCCTTTCAGAGGGCAATATTGCATAAAAGGAGACCCCCTGTCAATAAACATCAGTTCTACTTGACCCTTCAAAACATAGCCTCGTCTCGTTCTTGGAGGGGATTTATGGTACCGTTACTCTGCCTCATTTTACAGCACTCCTGGATTATACACTTGGATATCGTGGATGGGAATAAGAACTCCATTACTTCACAGCAGCTTGCCTAGAAAAGGACGTCTCCAACGGCAGGTACCCCTCTCCAGCTGGGTAGCCGTTACACTATGCATTTAGCAGCAGTGGCAATTTTTGATCAAATAGCAAGTTGTAAATTAATTAGATAGCACGTAGTAAATTATGTAACTCAAAATTTAGCAAATAAAGTAAAATGTGAATGGGATAAAACTGGCAGTTTACAGAGGGTGGGGCTTGAAAGAGAGTGTCTCATAAACTTTCCACTTTCACATACTTACATCTTTCTGCACCTCACAGGTGCTCTCTTTCAGAGTTTTTGTGGAAAGTCTGAGTCTCCTGCACGGAACATCATCCAGTGGATGGGTAAGACGGCCGATCTCCCTGCCTGGAGTGGCCTGTGCATCACTGGTGGGTGCCCCATTTCCCCCCACTTTGGACTGGAGGGGGTTATGCCAGTCCTCATCAGAGAGGTCCCCCTTAGTAAGAGCCATCGTGGGTCAGATGTCCTCCTACCAGTTGGTGTCAGTGCTCCTCACTTAAGATGGCGTCTGTCTCAGAGTTCCCACAACCCGTAGTAAAGCAGTTGCAGGGTCAGGGGAGAGTGGCCATCCTCCAGGCATTCAATACACTATGCAACATCTCAACCAGCAGCGACTTGGCCTTAATGAGATTACAGTAGCAGGGAAAACATCCGGGGGAATCACTGTGTTTGTGCCCTACCTGGGCCTAGGGCCACAAGGAGTACTTACTCTGAACTCTAGAATTTTGGGGAGATACTCACTATCATTCCCACAGGACAGAGGGGAGCCAGACAAATCTGCATGAGAATATCGACTGATGCTTCAGAGAGGGCAGGGTCCGTAGACAATGGGTCATTGTTCATAGTCAGGCCTGGGGCTAGAGCTGTAAGCTCGGGGGATGCACTTGGACTTTCGTGCTGGCTCCTAAACAGTGTTTAAGCAGAGGAAGCACTACAAAAGACTCTCTCTACGATTAGGACAGGCTAAAGAGCCTATTTAGCTCCCACTCTGACTCCCTCCTCTCTTTCTCCTCCCTTGCGGTGCTTTATATTACAGAATGAATAAATAAAAGAGGTGAAGAGCGCTAAAAATGGATCACAATATACATATGAAGGAAGGACCAACTTCTAATTCATATATCTTAAAAAAAAAAAACCAAGAGACAAATAATGGTGCAATACAGTAGATACATATAAAATAGGTGGATGTAAGTCAAAGGAAGGATATTGATACCTTAGAGAGAGTTCAGAGAAGGGCTACTAAACTGGTTCATGGATTGTGGGATAAAACTTACCAGGAAAGGTTAAAGGATCTTAACATGTATAGCTTGGAGGAAAGATGAGACAGGGGGGATATGATAGAAACATTCAAATACATAAAGGGAATCAACACCGTAAAGGAGGAGACTATATTTAAAAGAAGAATAACCACCACAACAAGAGGACATAGTTTAAGCATGCGTGGGATAGGCATAAGGCTATCCTAACTATAAGATAAGGCCAGGGACTAATGAAAGTATTTAGAAAATTGGGCAGACTAGATGGGCCGAATGGTTCTTATCTGCTGTCACATTCTATGTTTCTATGTTTCTAAAGGAACACTCACACTTTATAGAGCTATATAAGCTCTATTTAGAAGGCCTGGACTGAATAATCCCATCTATGGATATGACATGGAGGTCAGCAAAGCTTATTTTTAAGTGGATGTGGACATCATTTAAAAAGAAACAGAAAAAAATTCCAATGGTATGGTATGTGTGTGGAAATAACTATGTAAAAAGGATATTGTCCAACTTACATAATGTAGAGCAAGAACCTGCTCTAGTATGAAGAACTTTAGGTGGAACAATCCCACCTAAGGATGTATGCAGGAACCGTATGGGCTGACACAGCTGGGCAAAGGTAAGTACTTAACAGACTTGATAAAATTAAAAAAGTACTTTATTATGAAGATAAAATGCTGAACATACAGTGCACTATAAAAATAAAATAAATAAATAAAGCAAGTCTGTAAGCAGAGTAAATCCTCAATTGACGCATTTTGCCGGAGCTTTTTTAAAAGTTGATGTCATTCAATGAAGAGACGACTATTTAAATGTTGCCGGGTTTACATCAGCCAGTTCCGGTGTTTGCAGAGCTGTTTCCAGTTTCCGGGAGATGGATTATGTATGATACGTCCTTGTAGTTTCCGATTCCTGAGTTGAAAGGTTGCTAGACGTCACTAGAAAGTGACGTATACGGAAGTTGTCCGGACACCATTTTGAATGAGGGCGGCAGTCCGGTATGTGCATGAATGCAGTGCCAGGAAGAAGAATTATTATAGAAATATTTCCAAGCATATCAAAATAATTAGAAACTATATAGAGGCCATTTGCTAATTTTTTAAAATAAAACATATGGTAATATACACAATAATCACCATCCTTTATTTCAAATCTATAGTAAATCACCATCTATGTGTATTGGCTATCACACAGAAATTAGAATGTATGTATTGAAATAAAATAATTGAATGGGTATATAAGAGAAAAAATATAAGAGAAAAATTGTTAGAGAAAGGATATTATTGAGAGAAAAAATATTATATAAAAAAATATTAAATAAACAAAAAATGTAAATGAACTTAAAAAAACAATTAATTAAATCAAATTCTATATTTAACCTGCTTGGATGTAAAGTATCCAAACGGTATACCCACTCCATCTCTAATTTGCCCAGGTTTTTAATAGCATCACCTCCTCTCCAGTGCTGTATGTATTTAGCCACACCCATGAATTTTAATTGGCCACGGTCCTGGTTATGTTGAATGGCGTGTGCAGAAACTGAATGATTTTTGAAGCCCTTTTCAATATTTCAGCAGTGTTCAGCTATTCTTGTTTTCAGTGGTCTAGTAGTTCTGCCTACATATTGAAGTCCGCAAGGACATTCTAATACTTATGCAGTATACAGTACTTATAATTTATATATATATTAGCTAGGAGGAATGACTGCACCACATGACCGGCAAGCACCCCTGTGAGCCTGGCCCCCTGGAGTGATGGGCCTAGTCGCAGCGGCAACCGCCCTAGGTCTGTCACTGTCTATAAAGCATCCATAATGTATTCCTGCGAAATTTTAAAGGTTATCTTATTTTTTTTATTGCTTTCACATACATGAAATTTAATGTTATTCTGCGTCTTACCCGGAGTACAAAGATACCCCACATTAATATCATTGTTAGGTTCTTGGGGAAAGTATCGCGTCACATTAGAGACGCTCTCTAATTTTGACATACCTCTTCACTTGCTTATTGGAGATGTAATTTGGTGAAGTGACACAATGCTTTCTGGCATTAGACTCTGACATGATTTGAAACTATCTAAACATAACTCTAACTAATTCTAACTATTGCTAACCTTGACCCTATTTAACCCTAACCATAGCAAACTAACTCTAGCAAACCCTAACTAAGTTTAGCTGATCCTAACCCCACAATCACTGCATGCACCAGTTTAAATCATTCCCCATGCTGCTAGTGATCAGCATGTGATCATTATTGAGACATCCAGAAATACCTCGGTATTATCAATTACATGGTGAGCACTTTTGACTGAAGCCGTACAGTGTACGTTGTTGGCACACATGACCATGATGCTCTCTGTACATCAATGGTCACAGAGGGATAATTATTGACTAGCAGGCTGTCAACTCAGGGTGGACAGGATGCACTGTGTGCCATGGAGATACTGTGTTGGTGCACAGTGCACTGATTAGAGATTTTAAGAAATGAAGTAGTCTACCTCATCTCTTTCTCCCAGTCTTTTCTTCTCCTCCACTTTGCTGGTATCCTTTTTTGATGTTTTCAACCCCTTTAACTACATATCAACGCTCCATCGGTCCTATATTCCTTTGGGGATAACCTATTTCTCAGGGGGAGGATCTGTTAGTGAGGGTATCTGTAGGCAACAGAAAATGGTTGTTATGACAAATACAAAGTAACAACAATCAAGCAATGGTCAAGTGATAAATGGTACCATACTGTGTTATCATTTTACCTTTTCTAGTAACTGGAAACAGAACCTTTCTATCCTAATAAGACATCTTTTATAAATAATAGAGTGCATACTGTCATGGTTTTTTCCTTTGCCGTAGTGTATTGGGATTGCTCCTTATTATAATTACAGTTGTAGCTAGTGGATCTAAACCGTAATGGTCAACATGCTTATTGTTTAGAGACTTACCTGGTCTCGATAATGCGTAAACTGCTTATTAAGCTTTCTCACAGGGGATATTGGAAGCGCAACTTCAGCATTGCAGATGGTATCCACTTCCAGTTCACTTGTGATCTCTGTGTGCAATGCAGCCCTGTATATTTCTCACACAACTCGATTATGCTACATATCAAAAGACAAAGTACACGTGGGAATTTATTATTTAAGGAACACATTGCACAAGTTATATCTAAGAGATTAAAATATAGAACAGAAAGTACAGTGTTGAATAAAGTGGAAACCAAGGCTATATATAATGACAAACAAGGGGTATAGCAGATTTTGTGTGCCTATATATTGTATTAAAGTAACATATTGAAAACTATGCGATATGCAGTTGGCGTTTTTGTACATTACAATATACATAAAACATAGAAACATGGAATGTGACGGCAGATAAGAACCATTCGGCCCATCTAGTCTGCCCAATTTTCTAAATACTGTCATTAGTCCCTAGCCTTATCTTATAGTTAGGATAGCCTTATGCCTATCCCACGCATGCTTAAACTCCTTTACTGTGTTAACCTCTACCACTTCAGCTGGAAGGCTATTCCATGCATCCACTACCCTCTCAGTAAAGTAATACTTCCTGATATTATTTTTAAACCTTTGTCCCTCTAATTTAAGACTATGTCCTCTTGTTGTGGTAGTTTTTCTTCTTTTAAATATAGTCTCCTCCTTTACTGTGTTGATTCCTTTATATATTTAAATGTTTCTATCATATCCCCCCTGTCTCGTCTTTCCTCCAAGCTATACATGTTAAGATCCTTTAACCTTTCCTGGTAAGTTTTATCCCGCAATCCATGAACCAGTTTGGTAGCCCTTCTCTGAACCCTCTCTAAGGTATCAATATCCTTCTGAAGATACGGTCTCCAGTACTGTGTACAATACTCCAAGTGAGGTCTCACCAGTGTTCTGTACAATGGCATGAGCACTTCCCTCTTTCTACTGCTAATACCTCTCCTATACAACCAAGCATTCTGCTAGCATTTCCTGCTGCTCTATTACATTGTCTGCCTACCTTTAAGTCATCAGAAATAATCACCCCTAAATCCCTTTCCTCATATGTTGAGGTTAGGACTCTATCAAATATTCTGTACTCTGCCCTTGGGTTTTTACGTCCAAGATGCATTATCTTGCACTTATCCACATTAACCCCTTAAGGACCAAACTTCTGGAATAAAAGGGAATCATGACATGTCACACATGTCATGTGTCCTTAAGGGGTTAAATGTCAGTTGCCACAATTCTGACCATTTTTCTAGTTTACCTAAATCATTTGCCATTTGGCTTATCCCTCCTGGAAATCAACCCTGTTACATATCTTAGTATCATCAGCAAAAAGACATAGCTTACCATCAAGACCTTCTGCAATATCACTAATAAAAAATATTAAAGAGAATGGGTCCAAGTACAGATCCCTGAGGTACCCCACTGGTGACAAGTCCAAGCTTCGAATATATTCAATTAACTACAACCCTCTGTTGCCTGTCACTCAGCCACTGCCTTACCCATTCAACAATATTGGAATGTGCAACAGTGTCAAAAACCTTACTGAAATCTAGGTAAGCAATGTCTACTGCACCACCCTGATCTGTAATTTTAGTTACCCAATCAAAAAAAAATCAATAAGATTAGTTTGGCATGATCTCCCTGAAGTATACCCATGTAGTCTCTGATCTTGAAATTCATGTGTTTTTAGATGTTCAACAATCCTATCCTTTAACATGGTTTCCATCACTTTCCCCACTACTGAAGTAAGGCTTACTGGCCTATAGTTGCCCGACTCCTCCCCATTACCTTTCTTGTAAATGGGCACAACATTCACTAACTTCCAATCTTCTGGGACTACTCCTGTTAACAACGATTGGTTAAATAAATCTGTTAATGGTTTTGCTAGTACACCACTAAGCTCTTTTAATAGCTTTGGGTGTATTCCATCAGGTCCCATTGACTTATTTGTCTTTACTTTTGACAGTTGAAATAGAACCTCTTCCTCTGTAAACTCACGTGTAATAAATGACTCATTTATCCTTTTTTCTCAACTGAGGTCCCTTTCCTTCATTTTCATCTGTAAATACAGAACAAAAATATTCATTGAGGCAGTCAGCTAGACCTTTATCCTCTTCTACATACCTTCCTTCTTTTGTTTTTAATATAACTAATCCTTGTTTTACTTTTCTTTTCTCATTTATGTATCTAAAAAATGTTTTGTCCCCCTTTTTTACTGACTGTGCTATTTTCTCTTCTGTGTATGATTTAGAAGCTCTTATAACTTGCTTAGCCTCTTTCTGCATAATCTTATAGATTAGGCAGAAGGGATATGTGTTCCATTGAAGGAAAACACTCACTGTTTCCAGCAAACTCTCATCAAATTATTTTTGCCTCTTCTCCACTTCGTTCTCTAACTACTCCTGGTATTCTTCTATGTTCTGAGACACTAGTATTTCTTCAGTAACAACTTTCTTTTTAGGCATACTAATAATAATCGTGATGTTCATCTCATCAATTTATACCTAAACGTAAATCGAAAACACTATCAACAAACACTAATCACTATCTAACTTAACTTGTTGATGCTATCTGTCGAAGTGTGTGTGTGTGTGTGTGTGTGTGGTTTGTCTTCCCTTGTGGTATTTATAAAGTGGCCATGCCAGTTTAATGATTTAACATGAGTTGGTGGTGTCTGAACCCCAAAATCATAGCATGTATCAGTTTAAAATCAACCCCCCCAGCTAACTGTTTATGATAATCAGCCATGGTGGCTTGTGACCAGGGGATGGCTGGCAGCCTTAGGCCTGGTGGGGAAAACCAGTCAAGTGGCCCATTGCACCAAGAGAAGAGTAGAAACCCCTTTCCCATGTGATTGAAAGGGGGGGGGGGCAGTCACCTAAACAGACACACTCACTGACAGGCACACACACTTGCTGATTTGCACACACTAACAAACACACACACACACTGTTATAGGCATACTGACTCACACAGACAGACATACTGACATACACACAGACACACTGACACACACAGACATACTAACACAGACACACACACAGCCATACTGACACATACTGAGAGCTGTAATTGGGGGGTTAGGAAATGTAGTGGGGGATAGGGGCTGAAGTAGTTGTATGGCTACAATTTGGGAAAGGGGCTGTGATGTGGGTGATATGGGTTGCAATTGAGGGACAGGAGCGGTGTTGGGGGGGCATGGAGCTGAGGAAGGGGGACAGGGTCTGAGGGGGGGCAGGAGCTGAAAGGGGGTGTACAGGAGCTGAGTGGGGGACAGGAGCTGAGAGGGGTGGGACAGGAGCTGAGAGGGGTGGGACAGGGAGCTGAGTGAGGGGGAAATGGAGCTGAGTGGGGAGCAGGAGCTGAGTGGTGTGGGACAGGAGCCGAGAGGAGGAGGACAGGTGCTGAGTAAGGGGGGCAGAGGCTGAGGAAGGGGATAAAAAAACTAAAGTGTACCCCCCCCTCCCCGAGTCTTACCTTAGGCCAGGGAAGGGTGGGCAGGAGCAGGAACCAGCAGACAGCAGGAGCAGCGCCAGCAGTGAGTGATGACATCCTGATGATGTCAGGAGGAGGGGGCATAACTTCCTCTGCTCTTCTCCCAGAGAAGAGCAGTGAAAGTCACGCCCCCTCCTCCTGACATCATCATCGACTCCACTGACTGCAGGCTGCAGGGAGAGAGGTAAGTTGAAAATCCAGAGGCAGGGGATTTGGATATATCCTTTTTTTGCTGGATGCGGACGGCGATGGATTTAGCCCCAGCTTGTGACGTTTTTAAAATGGTGGGGCCCCAAACTCCTGCCCTGCTGGTTTTCAAGATGTTAGCATACAGCCGAAGGATCCTGTAATATACTGAAGGTAGCGATGTGTTTTTCTCATTTTAATTCCATATACTTCACTTTTAAAAAATCTATTTCCTTTAAAAACTTGATGATAGAATCATTATATAGAGAAATTGTTTTGAGGTGACCGTTGTCCTTTAAGTGGTTTTTGCTAATTGTACACACAGCCACCATATGAGGTGATGGAAGCTGTCTGTTAATAGCATGCGAGGCTTCTGTAGCGCCATAGATGATTGGACATGAACATAAATAGTGATACACAGAATCAGCAAAATAGAACCTTCAAAGACTCTCAGTCCAGTCAATGTATCCACTTGTCAAGATTCCACTATTCCAGTAATATTCCCAGGTACACTGATATTTTCAGGTTCTTGTGACTTGCCTGTAGTATCCCAAGTAATATAATAATATCTCAATCATTTAAAACCAAGCGATCTATGGAGCTATGCATTGCTCATTAGTTGACAGACTCACGGGTACAATTTATTTTCCATCCAACCTTCCTCACTAAAACTTTTTAGTGTTTGACATAACTGAGATCACTGGACTTAGAGTACTTTAAAGGTCATCACCTAAGGCTAATGGTGAAGATGTGCATTCGAGCAACAGGGCAGCCAAAGGATAGCAATATCCCGGAAGGCTAGAAGCTGTTGTGTGGCTCTGATCAATGAATTACCGTACACATCACATGCTGGATAATCATCTTTAGCTTGTATATGTCACACTCTTTACCAACATTCCTTTCTTTAAATGGTTATACATATGACATTGAAGGAGATGACCATGAGTTAACATTAGTGTCAGATGATTCAAATGGTTTTTCCTTTGGCATTTCTTAAACTGGTATAAGCTGGACTTTGACTGTGAAGCACTTTTATCTGATTATTACTACATTGGGTGTAGTAATAATGAGCTGTGTTTAGCTGCCATAAAAACACAAAAAATGGCTGAGAGTTCTGGTGTTCAGTGAGTTGATTATTAGACATTTGTATTTGTATTCAGAAGAATGAAAAAAGGATTGAGAATTTAGGTTTTCGGTTATTTAGTCAGAATCCGAATGTAATAGAATTTCAGAATGGCAGAATGGCTCACAGACCGAATCGCATTCGGACAGCATTGCAGTGAGCGTAAGCATAGCGATCAGGGATATGTGAGTGGCATAAAAAAAATATATTGCCCATGCCCCCAGTTGCCATACCATTAGTGGGGGCATGTCGACTAAACAGCAAGCAACCAGTGGCTGCTCACTGTGATAAAAAAAGTTGCCACTTGTCACCTTGTCCTAGTAAAAACAACAACAATAAAAAGTAATAAAGCAAAATAAAAAGAAGCAAGGGGGCTCTATAATGCATAATGTGCGGATAGCATGGTGTCCTGTCCCTGAGTTCCGACCTGTGTGCTTTAGGTGCATGTTTTTAAAATAAATAATAAGGGTGGACAGATCAGGGTTGGGGGGACCTAGTGTCCTCCAGTTCCCAGCCACGGGAAGTAGATGTGGGCTTTAATATTGATAAGAGGGGAACGAGTGCCCCTCACCCATTAGCAGGAGGTGGGTCTTTAATAGTGATCTAGTATCCCCCATTAAATGTCCCCCACATGGGCATTGGATGCGGGTTCTACATATTTATCACACAGTCACTCACAAGCACACTGTCACACACAGACAGTCAAAGGCAGACACCCACACACAGAGTCACAGGAAGACAATCACACACACACATACACACAGTCACAGACAGACAGTCACACACACACAGTTACAGGCAGTCACACATACACACAGTCACAGGAAGACAGTCACACATAGACAGACACACACACAGTCACAGACAGACAGTCACACACACAGTCACAGGCAGACAGTCACACACACAGTTACAGGCAGGCACACATACACACAGTCACAGGAAGACAGTCAAACACACACACACACAGTCACAGGCAGACAGTCACACACAGAGTCAAAGGCAGACAGTCACTCACACATACACACAGTCACAGGCAGACAGTCACACACACACAGTTACAGGCAGTCACACATAAACACACACAGGCAGACAGTCATACGCACACACACACACATACATACACTGACACACACACGGAGTTACAGGCAGCATACCCTAATCACAGGCAGACAGTCACACACACTCACTCACAGGCACACCATAGGCACTCTGTCACACACAGACAGTCACAGGCAGACACTCACACACAGAGTCACAGGTATACAATCTCACACACACAGTCAGAGGCAGAAAGTCACACACACAGTTACAGGCAGACAGTCACACACACACACACACACACAGTCACAGGTAGACAGTCACACACGCACAGTTACAGGCAGTCACACATACACACAGTCACAGGAAGACAGTCACACATACACACACAGTCACAGGTGGACAGTCACACACACACGCACACTCACAGGCAGACAGTCACACACACAGTTACAGGCAGGAACACATACACACAGTCACACACAGACACACACACAGTCACAGGCAGACAGTCACACTCACACACACACACACACAGACAGAGTTACAGGTAGGCAGTCACACACACACATACACACACACACAGTTACAGGTAGGCAGTCACACACAAACACACACAGTCACAGGCAGAAAGTCACACACACAGACACATACACACACAGTCACACAAACACACACACAAATACACACACAGTTACAGGCAGTCACACATACACACAGTCACAGGAAGACAGTCACACACACAGCCACAGGCAGACAGTCACACACACACACACAAATACACACACACAGTTACAGGCAGTCACACACACACAGTCACAGGCAGTCACACACACACACACACACACACAGTCATACACACACACACACAGGCAAACAGTCATACATACACAGTCACAGGCAGTCTTACACACACACACACACACACACACACTCTCTCTCTCTGACTTATTGGCTTTAGGAGGAGTGGATTAACTGAAGTCTCTGGAGTCTGTTAGTTGGGGAAGCAGGTACTCCATACTGCTTAGCCTCGATGTGCAGCAGTAACAGCAGCGGGTGGAGGCCGTGTTTAGCTCTGCCCCACTGCTGGTTTGGCTCTGCCCCCACTGCAGATTAGCTCCGCCTCCATTTTTATTACACGCGGCCTGTTGTGAAGTTCTGCGGATCCAGCGTGTGTTAGCTGTGTCGGCTGCCATAGCAACCTGTCCCTGCCGCACAGCTCACACATCCTAAGGCCACCCTTATCATGGCACCCCCCTAGTGAGTGGCAACTGGGGCGGACCACCCCCCCACCCCTCTTATTACGCTACTCCTGTAAAATTAAAAACAAATTATACCATCAGAAGCCTTTTTTTTATATTCTATTCTGCAGCCCCAAAAAAGGCCAAAATAATTTCCAAAATATAGAAACATAGAATATGACAGCAGATAAGAACTGTTTGGCCCTTTTAGTTTGCCCAATTTTCTAAATACTTTCATTAGTCTCTAGCCTTATGCCTATCCCACGCATGCTTAAATGGAAGGCTATTCCATTCTCTGTAAAATAATACTTCCTGAAATTATTTTTAAACCTTTGCCCCTCTAATTTAAGACTAAGTCCTCTTGTTCTGGTAGTTTTCTTCTCTTCTTTATATAGTTACAATGCAACTATTAAAAAAATTGCCAGTTATATTATTTCTATTTGCACGCAAACTGCTAATTATTGCTAACTGAAATTAGTCAGGTCAAGGGCAGAAATCCTTTTAGTTTCACCCTTGCCAGGCCTGGGCTATGCCACTGATGAATGAGGAGATGGGAAAGTTAAGATTGGGCTCGTCTGGCCACCGGGTGATTTTCACCCGTGTTATAATGCTTCAAATTTGCATTCTTACTGAGTGATTCTATGAGAGAATGCATGACAGAAAGTGGATTACTGTGTCCCTGTGAGTTTTATCGTGTGCTATATTTCTAAACTAGGAATAATCATATGTGGGGCTTGTTAAGCACAATGCTAAAATAAAATTCAGAATATAATTAAAACAACTCAATAGGTTCTAAAGTTATTAAATCACACATACAGGGAGTGCAGAATTATTAGGCAAGTTGTATTTTTGAGGATTAATT